AAAACTATTTTAGATCTAAAGCAATTCAGATGATTATTTCTTTTTTTTAAAGTTAACAAACGATTATTTTATATATTTCAATAGAATTTAAATGAAGACGAATATTGAAAAACAAATGAAATGGTTTACATCGAATATTCAAGAATCTTTAAAAAGAATGGAGAAGAAGTTCAAATATTTCGATTGACTGTTTTACGATGTATTTCTCGAAGAAAACTAACAAAAAAAATCCACTGCGTATCTCATTACGTTAACATCGGAATACTTTTCTATGATGTTTGACAAAGTTTGATAGATTGTTTATCGAACGAAATGAGGATTTTCTTATTCTGAATTAGAATCAAATAGAAAAACAAGTTTACTGACAAAGTATGTTAAGAAAAGTAAAGTTCATTGATAATAACAACAATAGTCTGTTCTTTCAATAAGCTTAGAGATTGTTTACAAATTATATTAGAAACATGAATCGAACGATGTTATAGAATCATTGAATTCTTGGAAAAAGTACCAATTTTCTGAATAGTTCGCCTGCTGACAAAGCATTCAATCGTAGAATTTCTCATACTAAACATTTTCATTTTCAAACTTTATTAAGATGAAACTTTGAGTGCAAAAGCTTATCGTCAACAGTCTTCATTGTTAAGAGAGAGATACTACAGAATAATGAAACAACTGTCGATATCTAAAAATTATGATTCAGTTTAATTGAATCTTCTATACTCAAATCTTAAACTATAACTCTTCTTTTTCCTTAAAATAGAACAATAGCCATTTACGACAACGATATATTCAATGAATGTTTCACAATATTCAGTATTCAAATGACATTGCATTGATATGATCCGATAAAAAAGAACTTGATCTCTAACATAATACAAATAAACATAATGCCAGAGAGTAGATTCATCATAAAAGATTTCGTTGATGTTTGACTTTCTCTTTGAAACCTACGAAAAAAATAGAATCACGCAATATTCGATTTCCCGATGAATTTTATGCAATAAAACAAATACTATCAAAAATTGATTCAACATTGAGATGTAATGTCGCGAGACAATTGTAAGAATCTTGAAAACTTTAAGATAAATTCTTTGACAGCATTAATGTCTCTACTTTAATCCGATTTTATCATAGTTAGACTTTCTTCGGTTAGAATATTCACATGTTGAAGTTTTTGAGATAATATCATAGAGGAGTATACAGTGGAAATTAAGAAGAGCATGAGAGATTTTGTTTTACGAAACACGAATGAGAAAAAAAGAAATGCAAATGAACGAAGTATAAAAATATTTCGTTCATTTGTATTTCTTCAATATGAAATTGAACGAAATAAAAATAATGATCAATGAATGCATCATTGATGTTTGAAAGGACTCGTTCTCAAAATAGACACAACTTTTGTATAGACAAAGCTATAGAAAGAGACTAAAAAGATATGCTTAAGACAGTTTCATAGCTATTACATTTTATCCATAGCTATTTAATGCATTTGTGTTTATTTAACTATCTAAATACTTAACCTCCAGCACTATTTGAGAAATTTTCATAGCTACTTATAACTTTATGCATAGCTACTTATTTCATTTGTATTCTTATCACTAACTAGCTATTTAATCTCCAAAACTACTAAATACAGATTGGTAGCAATGTTAAATCCGACGAAAGCTACTGATTATTTATCGAAATTGTTTGAATTGTTTTTTAATATTTTTCACCTGAATGGTTATCGAGCCTGGGGCAGCTCTTGAAAACGTGAAGTACTATTTAATAGTTATTGTTTAGGTATTTACTAGAACCTCAGCTACCTAGTTTTTTCTACTGTCTTTTTTTCGAGTAAGAGGATGAAAAAAAAAGAATTTTAATACTTTGAAGACGTTGTAATATGTCTGAAATAATTCGATTCTTGTAAAACCTATTGCTATTTAAATTTTATTATGGAAATTAAAATATTAGGATAGCTATTTATAAAAATCAATAGGTATTCAAAAATAAATTATACAATTACTAAATAGTTTAAGTAGTTAGTCTGTTTGTAATGAGTTTTCGTTTGAGGCACGAATTCATTCAATTAGTTTCCTAAAATCTCGCGCTGTTCATAGAAATGGTATTGCTTGTAGAATTATCCTTAATAGCAACAGTCAACATATCGGACTAGAATAAGAGCGAACAATTTTACTTAACGTAAAATTAAGTTAAGTTTTATTACTTATTACTTAACTTAATTAGATCGAATTAAAAAAATGGTCCAATTCTAGACGAGAATGAGGATGTTTCTAATAACAATTTTATTTTCTTATGATAAGGACTCTATTAGCAATCTTAAGAATGTCAACGAAATGTATGATTCACGAGCATCAACTGTATTTTAAATATTTATCTTGAATAATGTTGATGAGAATTCTCTTGATCATTATCATTTTTTCTATACACTAAATTATTATAAAGAATTTTTCAATGTCATTTGACGATTAAATCATCAATAAAAGTTCATTATCTTTATAACGTTGGAAAATTTCATTAGTCAAAAAAATATTATAATTAATTTGTTTTAGAAAAAGCGATTGATTAAACTATTATTAACATAGCGAATCTTCAATAGTTAACTAATATTTTTGTGGAATTCACATAAATTTTCAGAGAAAATAATGTGTGTAAGTTTAGATGAAGATTTTGCGCTCTTCTTCCCCTGCTAGAATCTAGCAATCGGGGTCAGAACTCATTGATAAAACGTTTGCTGTTAAACCGTGCTACATTTCTATTTTGCCTATGATAAATACTTGTTGACAGGTAATGAGGCAAAATTTTCAAAAATATCGTTGCAAACACTATAAAGTAAGATAATGCAGATTCTAAAGGCCTAATCTCACTTTTTTGAGAATTGATACCATAGTTCTGGTCATTGATTAATGCTGTTGTTAAATATTGTATAGGCTTTTATAAAAATCCTGATATTTTTTTTAAATGCTAAATAACATTGATATTTTTCATATGATGAACTCTCAATTGCCTACTACATTCTTCATAGATTCATTGATTGTTGTTTGACTCAATTCGATTTCCTTAATTTGAAATTCATCGAAACGGTTGAATATAAGAATATTTTTGAATTGATTTTTTCTTTTTGGTGACTTGCAGTTTTGAACGCTGTTAGTGAATGTTATCTGTATCTTTATTAACAGTTCACATTCTCGCTACTTTGTCGTTTCTTCGTTTTCATTTTGTATTTTGAGAGAGTACAGAACGGTGAATTCAAATTATGTAATGTGCATTTATCTAACGCAGAAGTATATGGTCTTCATAGTTAACCAATCAAACGAAGAATAAAACCTCTATCGAACTGATAAGTAAATAAACAAAACTGTTCAAAATGAATTTGCTTATAGTAGAAAAAGAAAATATCTAACGTTCAAAAAAGTTTAAAACTCAGAAAAATTGAGAAAACAACTGCAAAAATAGAAATTTTCAAAGAACTATCGTAATTATAATTTTTCTCCTTTGAATTGCTCGATCAAAAATAGTAGACTGCATTATTGCTGCATCAATATTGAGTGTTGTTGGCTCTATTCATTTCGTAGATGAATTAACGAGAAGATGTGATATGACGAGAGTATAATATAGATATGAAGTGCTAGAAATATTGAATTGTCTAAGACAAATTTATACAGAAGGTAACGGATCGAAAATTCTTGCATTAGATTCTTTCAGAGAAGAAAAACAAAAACAAATAGAAAGCGTTAGTTGTGTCTAAACATTACTCATTGTGATGGCAGAAGCACAAAAGACTCTTTCATTTTTACACGTACATCACAGTATCATCTGCTGGAGACAACTCTATAATTATAATCAAGCGCATCACTTTTGTGCTACATTGTAACAATAAACTGGATGAATAGCTTCACCACGGCCCTCATTAGTGATGCTTATTAAGCTACTTCGTATCTCCAGAATGTCATTATCTCACATTCAACGCAAGCTTTTTCAGGAGAGAGATGAACACACGGAAAAAACAATGGTGAGAATACGAAAGAAAGGAAGAAATGAAAGAGGAATAGAGGATATGACTGAGATAATGATAATAATATCAGTACATACATGTATTCTTTTTTGATTATCCAGGACGATTTACGGGCGTTTACGAACGTGCTTCTTCAACCTGGCTGGTATACTTCAATGTCCAGTTTGAGTCAAAATCTTATAAGTTTTGGTAACAATAAATAAAAAGTTGCCAAAAGCAACGATTTTCTTCTGGAAAAGCTCAGCTGCTGCAATAATTCCATTTATAAGATGAAAATATCTGAAGAAATGAACTTTATTTCTTTATTAAGAAAACCGTAATGCAAAAACTGTTACAATCTTGGTTACTTCCATATGAGTCATTCCTAATTGTATGTTGTTTGATGTTTATGTTTACGCTAATTTATGACGAAACTACAATCCATCTGAACATCACATTATTACGTTCTCACAGTTTGTTTAACCAAGGACAAGCTCTAAAATTTTGAATCAAAAGAGTTGCACATGAGCTTGTCATGGAGGAAAACCAAATTAATATTTTGCCACTGATTTACTGTTTTTAATTAAAACTTCTTAGAGATCAAAAACTTTATTCTATGATATTGAATTACTTTACTAGTACAAAAAAATGATTTTGACACTTTTGAATGATTGTTTATTCGCAATCGTCGAGGAAACAATGAACTTATGGATAAGATAGTTCATACAGATTTCGACATGTATCTGCACTTTTCGATTATGCTATTCTCTCGATTTCAATTTACAATTTGTATTTTTCTGCGAAGATGGTCTCTAAAAGAAAACGCTGGATTCATTCGACTACAAATTAATTATTTGCTTTATGTGCGATGTGACCAACGACATCTCTATGAATGATATCTCAGTATAAATTACAACAAATTCATAACAAAAAAATTGATTGATTTTGTTTACAAGAAAAAGATTGTTTAATCAATAAAATAACATGCGATGGAAAAATTTTGTTTTTACTTTTTTGGAATAACATTTAATGTTCGTACACCATTTATAATTGATTGTCTATTTTTTTCACAAATATTCCTTGATATATCATAAGATAATTTAGCTGTTTTCTTGTTTAACTCTCTTTCATCAGTAAACGTCTTCATTTTGTTAAGATATTTTTGTAAAATAAATATTTCTGCTCGACAATCATAACAATGATCAAGTCCTTCAGTTTTCACAGTATCCAAATCATGTTTATAATACATTGTTCTCGTTACATTCTGAAAATTATCCATAGCTCTTTCAAAATCTTCATTATCATATGTGATTATTTGTGCATTTTTTTCAACAATTAAACGACACTCCATACTTTTTCTCGATGTCCATATGTCTAGTAACATATGACCTTCGAAAAATAAAACTGTACCTGGTACATTTGGCAGACGAAATGTTAATAAAGAAGCATGAGAATCTATTGTTGAATGCCATATCATTTGATTAGAAATATCTACATGTATATCTTCTTCAAAATTGTTATGGCCGCTGAAAGTGCGAATGTCACAAATAAATAGAATATTTTTATTTTTTCCTGAAAATGTTTTTGCCAAATCTTCTGTAAAACGTTCTGATTGAATTTTAATTTTATCACTTTTAAATTCAACAAAAGGTTTTATATCAATGAGAACAAATTCAAGTTCAGGAAATAATGAACTTAAATAATCTAAATGTGCTCCAGGTGCAGCACCAGCATAGACAACCAAACTGTTATCATCTGTAGCATAACTTGTTAAAAATTCTATTTCTGATAAGAGTAATTTTCGTTGTCCCCAATATTCGGTTGTAGTTGATTCTCTTGGATTTGATTTTTTAATAGCAGATCCATTAGGAGATAAATTGAGTAAACGATTTTTATCGGTAAATTCTTCATGATAAATCAAAAGTTCTTTACCATTAATAAAAACTTCTCTTAAATGTGGATTTTGATCGTATAAACATTGATCATTATTATTTAATTTTAAACTATATACATTAAATTCTTGTTCATGTATTAAACGTTTTCTTAGATGTTTCTCATCGCCATATAATTTTGATTGATCAATATTAGATACAATTATTGGTAATTTATTTTTTTGTATAATAGATCTTTCAGATTTACCACGATTTCGATTGTCAACACTAGATTCATTTGTTGTACTTCTTGAAAATATAAAATTTATTATTCTATTAAAATATATCAATCGCAAGATAATTTACTTTTGTGCTGTTAATAATGGTCGAAACATTTTCATAAGTTCAATAGACCATTCGATATCATCCATTGCTCTATGACTGACTGTTACTTTTCCATTAGCTGCTATTTCTCTTACAAATTTCGATGCTGTCGATGGTGCCCATCTTTTCATCATTTCACGAAATGAACTAACATCAATAACACGATAATGTAAATAACTATGAACAGTAGGCATTTGTGTTTTCATAACTTCTCGATCAATATGAATTGAACTACCAGCTAAAGGACATGCTTTCTCTGGACAATGACGTTTAAGTACATCTAATAATTCTTGTTCCATTTGTTCTTTTGTTATATTTGAAGCAATAACATCAATAAATAATCCATTTCCACCATCATTACGATCTTTAAATGCATTTTGATGCCATTCACTGAGTCCATCGAGAACTTCTTTTTCAAAATGAACAATCCATTCCTCTAAAATATTTAGACAAACAAAAGAAGATTCTCTTAATCTTTCGATCAATTTTGAAGTCATAATATGTTGAATATATTAGAAATTTGCATGAATATGGAAAATAGAAAATATTTTTAGTCAGTAGTAAGCAGTACCAATTGCATGGAATAGAGAAAGTTTTGTAGGCTTTAGTTCGATTAAAATATTGATACTCAATGAAAAACACTTTTAATTGAACGTTTTATCTTCTACTTAGCAATATACAATGATTTACTTCTTTCTAATTCATTGAGATCTTTATCTGTAATAATAACAGCACATTCTAAAATTTCTGGATTATCAAATGATGTAAATTCTAAATCCATCCAAACAATATTCATCATTTTATCTTTTTGTTTTTTCATAACATATTGATCATATATATTTGTAGATGTTTTATCATCTCCAAGTTCTAATAAAAGATTACACATTCTCCAATCTTGTAGTAAATGAGCTAGTTCAAAAGGAGTAATATTATCTGTTTCTCTTTTAATTAATACTTTTAAATTAAATTTTGAAACAATATATTGAATCACATCTAAATAATGTCTATCAACAAGTTCATGCAATAATGTATTGTTAGTACCATTGGACATATTTCTCCATGCTTCAATCTCCATAACACCATATCGTTTGATAAGATCATCAAGTTGTTCAATAATGGTCGATTCTGAATTTCTTTCCTTTAAAATTTTTTCTAATTCTTTATTGAGATTTTGCATTGACATTGTGTTGTTGCACGAGCATATATAAAGTATAAAAAATGCGGCCTACAGTCACATTCTATTTACGTCTAGGAAGAAAAATAAGAGAACTGAGAAGAAAGAAAAAACACGAACGAATGAAAAAGAACCTTTGATTATACCATAATGTTTGCTTGTGTCGGAAGGAAGAGAAAAGGAAGAAAAAGAGACTCGACTAATAATGGAAAATAAAATAAATAATACAACGAAGTTGGCCAATTTTTTTAAAAATTTAAAATAAAAAACTTAATTGAAAAAATTTAGAAATTTTGAACAAAGTCTCATCGATATATGAACCTTTCAAAAAAGAAAAGCATGTTGCATAGATTATCCAACGGAAAGGGTCTATACCTTGAAAGTATCATATCTCGAAGAAACTTTGTTCAAAATCTCTGAATTTTTTTGAAGGCAGCTAGTCTAGTTGAGTTCTCTATATGCACAAATTTTCCAATCAAAATTCGACAACACGAGTTTTCCGAAAGTCTGAGGCTTCTAGAAAATAGATATATTAAGAATTCGATAGCTTAGTCTAGTCTCAATAAGAACCCAAGTCCTTTTAGGATTTTTATGAGGACACTATATAGTATCTATAGGCTAAATATCATTGAAATCGAAAGGGGCAGCTAAAGAGATTCATTTATGAGAAGAATATGAGGTCTGATTCGTAAAACTTCGACATTTTTTTTGTGTGAGCGATGCTAATGAAAACGTAAAGACTGCTCGAGCATAACTTACTTCGTATTTGGATTATGTTGAAACGAAGCGATCTATGTACGCATATATTAATGTGAAAAGATTTGTCTAATAAAATGTTTGTAATATTTGAAAAGACAATATTGCTGTCAAATATGATCTCAATATATTCTTAATTAATCCTAAAAACAGTCCTTTATTAACATTTATATGATAGTTATGTTCGTCATAATTGCTCAATTTAGATGATATATTTCAAAACAGAAAAGGTTCATACAAACAATACAGTAAAAAAACACATTTAATTTATCAAAATATTTTACACATCTATTATTTTATAGATTATTTTTAAATAATGTAAAGCTTGACCATAGCGATACACGATATATTCTTCATCATCATCTCCTGTTCCTTGAACTGAATGAGATCCAATAGATGCTGAAGTCAAGTTTGAATTATCTTTATTTTGTACCGAAGGAATACCTAAGAGAACTTTAGCATAAAATATAACACGTGTTTGATCATTTTCATCTGCCTTTGTATACTTATGTGATTTTTGTGGATTATCAGCAAAATATGCACCATGACCTATTAAATATAGCAAAATAATATATGATTTTTCTTTTACTATGGAAATATTAGAACTAAACGATGACTTACCCCATCGTCTATTGGAAATAAAATATCGATCATCAAAATGGTGTGTGGGTGTGGGTGTAGGTATTCTCTTCATTCTCACTAATCCACCCACACTCTCAAGTGTCACTTTTGAATTTTGTTCTATATGATGAGCGTTTGAAATGGTGTTAATTAAGAACACACTATCTTGAGGGTGTGGGTGTGGGTGTCGTCAGAGAATGGAATATCGACACCCACACCCTTGAAAACTAGTCCTTTGTCATACACGAAAATGAAACTCGAGAATTTCGACAAACCTCCTATAGATTCGAATTCCTGGATCCTGAAAACTTTTAGACTATTTTTATAAAATTTAGTTATTTCCATGATATGACTTCTCTCCACTGAAAAAGTCGAAATCAATTCAAGACCATCATAAGTTTACTCTCTGTTCATTGTCTTCGTTTACGGTAACACGAATGTTGCTTCCCAGACAGATGTTCTCACGACACTTGCTCCTCGGACAGTTACTCCTGCGACACGGGTATGGGTGTGGGTATGAATGTTCGTTACCTCTTCACTCACATCCATACCTGTGTCGCTGGGGAACAACGGTTGCGGGAGCATCTTTCATGGAATCCTTCAACATTAGTCTATACGTACATGCTTAGGCCAATACAAAGTTGTACATAAGACCGGTGTACCGTTGTATCCCTATCAAGAAATACTATGACGCGATGTGGGTTATAAAAATTTTAATTGAAGAAGATTAAGTAGAAGTTTGGAAAAAAGGTATATAGATTTATGTACCTGATCCAGTTGGTGTCGTAATAGTTATTATTGTATTCTTTTCTATTTTATCTATTAGATCTTTAGTTGATTCGAATAAAGGTAATTGTAGTGTAAAACAACAATAATAAATGATAATTCGTTGTAATAAAGGTGGTATTAATTCAAGATGTTTCAATTGATAACCTTTATATTCTCGATTTTATTGAAATATATAAGTAATTTTTTCAGTCATTTCTTGAGCTGTTGAAGCCGATTTTTCAGTTGGTTTTTTATCAGTTTCAATTCATTGAAATGAAATATTTTCTTTAATGAATTGTTCTAATGTTTGATATTTAATTTATTCAATTTGATTCATAAATGAATTATTTTCTATGAATTGATTTGTAAATTTTCTAATTTCTATCCATGGACGAGTTAATTTACTAGAAATACATTGTTCAATTAATGTTTTTATTTGTTCTTCAATAGATATATTAAACATACTGACATATTCTTTTATTTTTTCTTTTATATTATTTGAAAATATATTCTTATATAAAAGCCAATAACGTGTTTTTGATTGAACTTGTAAAAATGTTATCATTAAAGATCTAATAATTCTATTTAAATGTTGTTGATAATAATCTTTAGCTGATTGCATTGAATTATTTACAGATTGAATTCTTTGCAAAATAATTTTAAATTGATCATGATGATATTGAAAACCAGTAACAGCTATTGTATACATAGTTTGATTTTTTTCAAATATTATTTGTGGTGGATAATTAGTAGATTGTGGATTCATTTTTGTTGATAAATTTTTAAGATAATATAAAAGTAAATTATGATTTGGTAATAAATAATTATCTACTAATTGTGATGAAATTTTTTCATAATTAACAGTATGAATTCCAGTTTTTATTTGTTTTAATTTATTTTGTTTGTCTTTAAATTGTTTCACTTCTTCTTCAAGTTTTTTTCGTTCATTTTGCACTTTTCCCATTTTTTGAAACATCTCAATCATATCGATTTTCATACGGCTTATCTAATTCTTATGTTTCTACTAAACGACTTTATTTTAAAGAAGAATAAAACCTAAAATTTTATTTTTACATAGAACTTAGACTGAGAAAATTTAATTACTAGCGAGTTATAGTTTTGAAATTTTTGTACAGAAAAAAAAATAGATAAATAAATCAATTAATAAGTTCATTTATGTAATACATTTTACAATTAATGTCATCAATTAAAATCTGTTTAAAAGAAAAATAAGAAATAAAAAATTTCCTGTCTCGGATTTTGTATACTTGCAAACATTAGAAATTTACAAACTGTCTCTAAAACTTGTTGCTGTAACAATCATTCTGATATAAATAGATCAAATGAATTATTTGATATATAATATAATACATTTGCCAAACTATCTTTTATATAACTGGTTTATTCTCATTCAGAAACAAGTCAGTTCAGTTAATGTTAGGACCTTATCTATTTTTATTCAAAACTTATATGAGAACCTAAACTTTTCCACTAAAGAAGAATAACAAATAAAAAGAAGAAGAAAATATCAAAAAAAAAAATATTTAACTCAAAATAACGCAAACATCCGAGCCATACTCATTCATAAATGAGGCCGAACCTTTAGCAGATGAAGCACTCTCCCAAGCATCATTGTAAATAATCACATGGATGTGATGATGTGGAAATACACTTCTCAGACTATTACGAATTCGATCACGTCTTTTTTCATTATTTGTTATACCTTTTGTATCAAAAACAAAAGGAAATGCTTTTCGTTTGATATCATCAGTATTCACAGGTAATCCTGAAGATTTTGATAATTTGTAAACTCTCAACCAATCTTGATCACCCAATTGAACATTTAATAATATTTGACCTTCATATGACGACGACCCACCAGGTGCTGTAAATTTGCATACATAAAAATAGTCATTGGGATATGCCGTTTGAAAAATATTTCTAAGACGTGCTGCACTAACAGTCATTCTAATATAATTAGATGATATAATTTAAATCAAATTTGTTTGAATTATTTAAAAAAATAATATAGTATAATATATTTGTCGAAATATCTTTAATATAAATTAGAAACAAATGATTTGAGTTATATATTTATTATGATCAAGGAAAGATAAAATATTGTTTAAGTAAATAAATGTGACTCGCTTCATATATACTCAGGGATATGATACGAAAAAAAAAACAAAGAAAAAATATTATTCGTTTATCATTACCAATAAACAAAATACATCAAGGCCGAAGCAAATGAGCGAAATACGTTGATATAAGAAATTATCCTTACGTTAAATAGTAATTGTAAACCAACCAAATTTCGAATGAATATTTTACTATTATTTGGTTATTTTTATTCTCTCTTTAATGAATGAGTAAAAATATGTATATGGATAATTAGAAATAAAAATAACTTTTGTCAACTTATTAACTATGATAATTGACATTTTTCTGTTTGAAATCATAGAATATAATTAACAATATTCAAAAAAGAAATAACAATTTCTTTATTTTTCTTGTTAATGTGTCATATTAATGTGGAGAAGTTTTGAAGGAAGAATTCTGGTTTGTAAAAAAAAAAACATACATTCGTAATCAACGTGATCAATTATCTGTTCTCCTCACGGTCTCTCGAGAGTATCTGTGCATCTAATCAAAAAGAAAGATTTTTTCAAAAAGCAATCGAAAAAAAATGAAACCCTTCGCACTGGATTCGTATCAGTGTCACGTTATTCACGCTTTTAGTTACTCAACTATGTGTGAAGTTTTTTTTTGTCCTTTCTTCCTCTCTTTCGCGTCGTGTTTCTGACTCATGAAGACTCGACTGCATCTAGTCAATTATCAATTATTATAAAATCCTTGTAGTTCATATATACAGTCTAGGACAATTGAAATCATAGCCTTTGATATTTTGTTTTGTTTTTTTTATTAGTATACGTTTTTATTTATTAACTTACTATATATAGGGATAAAGTCCAGAGCTTGCTGCATCTTTTGGTATATTTACTTTGAACATCAAAGGCAGTTTAAAATGTAAACTGTATTGGAAAAAATAGATAAATGATAAGACCTTGAATTTTTTTTTCAAAAAATGCGCCATGAAAAGCTCTACGAAAACTGTATGATTGAATCTCGTTTACCTGTTCTAATAATTTTTCTTATACTCAAAGTGAACAACTTTTATAGCAGTGTCACTTCCCATCATACTGAAAATGTTGGAAGACTTTTTTTTTGTTCTGCATATATCTCAACTTGAGAAAATGATAGAATATTGAATTTGCTTTGAAAAGATGTGTCGTCGAAAGCTCTACAAAACTTGTATAGACCAAATCCTATAGCGATTCGGAAAAGTTCTTTATTTTGAGTGTATAAGAAAAATTATTAGAACACGTAAAAGGGATTCAATCATACAGCTTTTATAGAGCTTTTCACGGCACATTTTTTGAAAAAAATTCAAGGTTTTATCATTTATCTATTTTTTCCAATACACTTTTTACATTTTTAACTGCATTTGATGTTCAAAGTAAACATACCAAAAGATACAGCAAGTTTTGAGTTTTCTCCCCCTATATATAGTAAGTTGATAGATAAAAACGTATAGTAATACAAAAAGGCAAAAAAATCAAAGGGTACAATTTCAATTGTCCTCGACTGTATATATATATATATATATATCTTTAATTTTATGTGAATTTTTTTCGATAATGTTCGTCTTTATCTGTTGAAACAAAAAGACAATTAATATCAATTGCGAAAATATTTTTTCAAAAAATATTAATTATTTCAAAAATTCTAGTTTCATGATAATTCGATAAAAATTACATCATTAACAAAAATAAGTGAAACTGAATAGTTGATTCAAATCTGAAAGATTATTTTTTATTCTTGAAGAGTAGTTTTAAAAAAATGATTTGCCAACATAAAACAAGGCTTTTTTTAAAAATCATTCTCTTCAGATGTTATGCAAGTCGGTTTTTTTTATTTTTCTGCATTCTGCAGAATATTATTACTCAATCATCCTATTTTTTAGGCCACAGGGCAAGACATCAAAAAGTTTATCTTGCAGAACGATCTTTTCATTGTGGATAAAAACTTGTGTGAATATGAAGTACAATGTCAAAAATCATAGAAATAATATTTATATAAAAATCATTTATATTAATTACATTAATACAGCTTATCACACGTTTTCCAGCAGAAATGAAATGAACAAAAAAAAAATGCTCGACTTCCATAAGGTGAACAAAAGAATAAGACAACAAAGATAAGGATATAGGATTCACAATGTCTCACAGCCACACGCTGATCTCAAATTATTTGTATAGCTCATTTATTGTTGTACGATGTTTTTTTTTAGATTCTGCACTACAGAATTCAAATATCATTCTGCAGGTCATGCATAAAAGGATAGATCCTGCATCCTATGATGTGCTCTGGTTTGTTGTAGATGTAAATGTTAAGATAAACGTCTAAACTACATATGAACTATTATTCTTCTAGGAAAGTCATCTTTTCAATTCATAAAAACGATAATATTTTGAAGATTGTGTTGGCTATTTTAATAAAGAAAAAGCTTTTCTCGAATTTTCGATGTCATATGCAAAGAATTTACTTGATAAATAACTGATGTGTGTAATAAAGTATAAAATCAATTTTTTCAAAGTTTCGAAACACGAAACTTCGTTAAGGTTTCATCTATCAAAAAATATCGAGTTTTGAGTTTTCTACAGAGTAGAACAGGCCACATCTTCTACTTTCAGAATCACTATTATTCATGGTTTTTACGATGGTTTCAAAAAGGTTTTTGGATGGTTTTTCACGATTTTCAAGAGATTTTATGAAAAATTCAAAAGCAGAAAATATTTTGATAAATTTTAGTTTTTGAAGCCTTTTGATTTTGTCTATAGACTTCTGATTTGAAAAACATACCCTGCTTTCCCTTCATATCGTCTGTCGTGAATCGCTCTATATGAAGCAAAAAAAAACATGAACTTCCAAAGATCAACTTTGTTTATCGTTTTTCTGCGTGAGTTGAACTCTAATATACAATAATATTATCGTATATAATATCCAGATCTGAAAATTTTCGAATCAACGGGCTCTAATCGTCTGAGAAATTTTTAAAGTGCACCAGTATCTGAATATCAAAAATTGAAAAAAATTATCTCATGTCTTCGAGATGACTATCCAATAGCGACTAGAAAATTTCATTGAAAGTATCAAAGTACGGTTTGACTGGATCGGAACCATAGGTCCACTAGAAATCAAATTTTATGCTTACATTTCTTTTTAAGCTGTAGGAATATTTTTTTTCTTTTAGTTTTTTTGGAGGTGTGGGTAACGGCATAAAAGTAAAACGATATAAATTCAGTTTCTCGTCCGGATACGGTTCGAAAAAGTCTGATTAATAAGATCTAGATCTTAAAAACGTTCAATAAACCGAGTTCGAATTTCGACAATGTTGAACCTGATGGATTCTACAATGAAGCGATCATTTCTAAGACGACTGCAGGAAATAAAGAAATTATAGAATTAAAAAACTCTGGAAACGTTTCTAGTGATGAACTTCATAAAACTATTCATTGTCAAAAATGATTTCAACTGACTTCAACAAAAAACTGTGACATTTTGCAAATTATTTAATACCAATATAACAATTTTATCAACTAATTCTTTCTCTTTCATATGGTTGAGATTTTCAGGATACACTGAGTAATAAAACATGTATCTATAATGTAAACATGCGGCTAAACTACAATAATATGAAGAGTTAATCAAAAAAATTAGATGTCATCTCTTTTTTGTCTAGTGACTTTTTAGACACCCTATATATACATATTAGTGTTCAAGTTCGGATCAGCCCAGGCGAATCTCACATCTAAGATTGGATGTGTCCAGTACACCGGTTCCTATTTTTGTCAGTAAAGTGTAAAAAAAACATTCTAAGAGGAGAATAGAAAGAAACAGAAAATTAATTGAAGATTAAGTACCAAATGAAGCAGAATAGTCAAAAGTGTTCATTTTACTATCAAATAAATTTTAGTTTTTTTTTAATCAAATGAAATTTGTCTTATCGTATAGAGTTTTCATATTTTGATAATATTTTGTCTATTATTATTTATTACTCTTTCATATCATTAAAATTTTAAATATCATTGATTAATTCTGAAAAATATTGTTTAGTTTTTTTTTATTAAACAGATTTCAGCCTTCGGATAATATTCAATGTCAATTTCTGACCTCTATCGAACTTCTATAATATTACTTTATAGCTCGAATTGCCTATGCATTTTCCTTTCAAACATAACTAGAAGTCTGTGTATTCTCAGTACATTTGAATTTCATCTTCTTTAGTATTAATTGTCAAATAGTGTATATGACATGATTCTCTTCACTAGTCTTTCTATGATAATTGCATGTTGTTCTTTTGAATAAGATGAATGCATCGTACATAGATTGATGTTTCATGAATATTTAACACGCGAGATCCATAAAACACATTTCTTTTTTTTTTGTTTCTTTTCTTTTTTTTTTTTGTTTCTTTTCTTTTCTTTGCCGCAATCTTGCCATGTGCTCTCCTTCCCAAAAATAGTCTCATATTTATAATGACCTCATTAACAAAACAAGCAAACTTGTGTACTCATTCTGTTCTATTTTTCTCTCGTTCGAAGTCTCGATACAAACGTCTTATATAGCAGTTGCATCAATATTTTTCTCTTTCTTTTTACGACTCGTCGACTATTATGCTTGTATTTTTTTTTTGACGATGTATAATCTGTAACTTGTTATACACATAAAAACAAAGGACCACCAAACCATAGAGTAACTGATACATTTGATATTATCAGCAAAAGTAAACAATTTATTATGTTTCTTATTTTCTTATATAAATGATACGAAATGTTTGCTGCTGATGTAATAATCGTTATCACAATGCAAATATTTCTATAATGAACTTAAAGATTGTTTTTTTTGTATCTTTTTTTTTAAAAGATATTGGAATTTCGTTCATGAATCATAAAATATATTTCTGAATCATTGAGAAATAAAAGTACAAGGACACTTTCATATATATATAGTAGGTACGTTCTCATTCGTTCTTCTCCAATTGTCTTAATAGTTCTATTTTTCTTTTGTCTATATTCTAACGCAATACTCGTTCTCCTCGCCAAGCTTTATAACCAACGTATGTTTTTTTTCTGCGCTAATGTACATATAACATTGATTGTTTGATGTATTGGTGAAGAAGAAAATAACGAGTGTATAATTTCAATTGATATGTTTAATAATTTACGGTATATTTCTTTGTTTTTTTTTTGTTTTGTTTTCAGATTAAAATAAACAGTATGCAAGCAGCCGTTGTAACAGCTTTTGAAAAGCCACTTGAAATCAAACAAGTAGAAATTCCAAAACCTGGACCAACTGATGTTTTAATTAAAATGATTGCTTGTGGTGTTTGTCATACAGATTTACATGTTGCTCGCGGACGTAAAAAAAGAGTTTTTTGTTTTGTTTTGAATTAATATTTATCTATGATATTTTTTTTCTTCCATAGAATGGGATGTTAAACCTGAATTACCACGTATTCCTGGTCATGAAGGTATTGGTGAAATAGTTGAAATAGGTTCAATGGTTGGTAATCACTTAAAAAAGGGTGATATTGTTGGTATTCCTTGGTTACATGCAAGTTGTCTTCATTGTGAATATTGTTTAACTGGACGTGAAACACTTTGTAAACAACAAATTAATTCTGGTTATTCAGTTAATGGTTGTTTTAGTGAATATGCTCTTATGGATGGTCATTTTGCTGTTAAATTACCGGAAGGTATGGATCCATATACATCGGCACCTCTCTATTGTGCTGGTGTAACTGTTTATAAAGCATTAAAAGTATCTCAAGTTCGACCCGGTGAATGGGTATCAATTGTTGGCGTTGGTGGTCTTGGTAAAGAAAAAAAAAACAAAAAAACTTTTCTTTTTTTGTTTTTATTTTCAAATAATTATTTTGAATTTAATTTCTAGGATCAGTTGCTGTTAAATACGCTGTTGCTATGGGTATGCGTGTAGTTACTGTTGTTGCTCCAAATGATAAAGTATAGTCGTTTCTTTTTTTTTTGTTAACGAATATTCTTTTGTTTTTTTATGATTAGACTGCTGTACAATTATCAAAAGATATGGGAGCTGAAGAAGTTTATGATGGTCCATCTGATCAACATGGTAAATGGATACAAGAAAAAGTTGGTGGTGTTCAAGGATCTGTTGTTACTGTACCAATAGTTGCTGCATTTGAACAAGCATTTCAATCAGTTAAACGTGGTGGTCGTGTTGTAGCTGTTGCTTTACCAAATGGTAAAATGACTATACCAATTGTTGATTGTGTTCTTGGTGGTATTGAAATAGTTGGTTCAATTGTTGGTACACGTAAAGATTTACAAGAATGTTTAGAAATAGCTAAACTCCATAAAATTGAATGTAGAGTACAAAAACGAAAATTACAAGATATCAATGATATTTTTGAAGATATGATTAATTATAGAATTAGTGGCCGAGTAGTTCTTGATTTTACCGCTAAATGAATTTATTTCATATGATTTAATCATAGATTATTTTAATCAAATAAACAGACTATATAGTATTAAATTATACAATTTTTATCACATTTACTTAGCGTTCAAACATTTTCTCTCCTTTTTTGCTTAACTCTACTGTCTTGTTGTCTACATATATATATATATATATATATATTTCTGCGCGCTTTTATTAATATATTCCGTATCATAATACATTAATCTTCTTTTTATTTGAGCTAAATTATTTTTAGAAATATAAAATTTTGTGATGCAATGTTAAAGTCAAAGATCAATGAGAGTGTTGTCTTCTACGTCTATCATTTATTATTAACATGCGGTTGATAATAGATATAGATTGTATGATAGAACAAAGTACATTATCTTCTTATCTACAATAAAAATAATTCTTTCAATCTTATGTTGAAGAATGAAAAAGATAACAGAGAAAATATCGAATGTCTCGTAATATGAACATGTTAAATAAATTAATTCTGTTTATTTTATACTTTTTGACACTATTGAATACAATAACAATAATTCATTAAAAGTCATACACCATGTCAAAATTATTTATGTTATCAATAGAATGCAAAAAAGAACCAAGCTGTAAGAACAATCCCTGTGGGATTAAAATGTGATATACCATGTACCTGCTCTTGTTTATCACAAAAAGATTGTTTTAGTCCACAGTAGAGAAGAAAACTCAAAAATACAACTGCTCTAAACTTATGTCCACCATTATATCTATTTTGAAACAATATTTCTTCACTATTCTTTCATTTAATCCTCCAGATCTGTAATAAAGAAGAAATTCATATACGTTGGATATTCAAAAAGTTCTCGGACTGATCTTATTTAACAATAATAAAAAGTATTCCTTTATTAGTATTTTTATCTGTTCGTAGCTCATGCAGATTTCTATTAATAGACATCGTAAGGTCTGTTAAATTAAACATATTATAGAAAGACATTTTAGACTATTCCATATATGCTGTCAAAAAATTAAAAACTTGAGCAAGGTTGAAATTTTGAAAAGTTAGTTGCCATCCAATATATATATATATATGGTGATAGTTTACAGTGACAATGCTCTAGGACATACTACAATATTTGAATGGGCTCATGATTTTAAAGGCAAAATAACTAACTATTAATAATGGTTCTAAATTAGGTCGATATGTCATTGTGTACATTCGAAATATGAACAATGTCCACTATTTACCAAAATGTGATTCGACTGTCTTCGATCATCAGACTTTTAAAATTTTTAGTGCTTAACTATGCTATTGTCATCAATGTATGATATTCTATACATTCATAAATATTAAATGAGAAATGATCTTTCCAGAACAAGAAATGTTTTCACTGAGCAATGATAAATTTTTTTGATTTTTATCAGTGTATATATAGGATGGTCAATAATGTATATCTATATTTCCATTAATACTGATACATTAGTGTTTCTTATTATTTTTAAATAAAGTCACTCCGGAGACTTCTTGAATGCCCTACGTATAATAACGAGACATTATTGATATAAAGTCTGTGATCGTCTGTCAAGGACTGTGATGTTTTCACGATTGCACCTGTCACAGTCTCTGTAGACTGGAGAAGAAGTCTAAATTTTTCCCCTCTATACATTTCAGCACTCCTATTAGATCATGTTTTACAAAATAGTATTCATGCTTTCTATAGTATAATTTACAGATCATCTATTTACATAAAATGTAACTATTTGATTTATGTAGATCATATTTGATATTTTAATATTAGTACATAAACAATGTTGGTAGTAATTCATTTGATTCAACATAAAAAATAATGAAGTTTTTCCATTGAATTGAATAGAAAGACAAAACAATTCATTTACATTCAAAAATTGAAATCGAAATATTCATGAATATCTTTTTGAGAATTAAAATGTAAACATCTTACATCCTTCAAAATCATATTCAAATATTTTCGTCGTATAAGAATTTTGTAAATAAAATTAACTATCATCATATATTAGTAGAATTCATTAAATATCAATGTAGAGTTTCTAAAATGACCATTAATATGATAAAATTTTATCCTTGAAATAAATATGTTATTATGTGTTGCATAAATTTTTATATATGTAGCCTATTGATAATTGATTGCTGTCGCCATTAAAACTTAATTGCTATTAATGTCTATAGTTGCTCATTAGACGTTTCTACGAAGAACAAGTAATTAAAAAAAAAGACCAAGAAAGAAGAAAGTTGTTTTGGTCTACTCAAATGAAACAGAACAACGAAAAAAAAAGCATGTACAACCAACGTCATATATCATTAAACTTGTTGCTTTTTTTTGTCTTCTCATGAATTATAACAGAAAAAAAACAAATCATCTCAATACTTATGTCAATATTTTTTTTTGTACATTTATTTAATTTACAAGATACTTTTGTTTTGAAAGAAATAGACTGATTTATGCTTTCATATTTTTTTAATTTCAATAGATGAAAAGTATTATATACTTCTGTTTTTTTTTTTACTTTTTTTCGATGATGTGATTTGATTATTTAAAATAAATAGACAAAATCAAGGTTTTTTTTTTGCGTTTTATTTTAAAATTTTAATTCTATTTTTATACTCAATACAATAAAATATTTTAATGTTATTTTCATGAAGAAACAAGAGTAGGTATATTGTATAAGTTTTCTCATTCAAAATTTTATCGAAGGAATAAAGCAATCGTTCGTATCATTTTATTTTAAATTTAGTTCAACTTACATTCAAAAGAAACAAAGAATGCATATAATGAAACTCGTAAATATATCGGAATGGAATGAACTTTGCAAAAAGTGCAATTAAGTATCAGCTGTTTTTTTTTCAGAAAATGAAAATAATTACAAAATTTTGAATTTTCACATATCGTCCATTCTTATTTGTGTCTATATTTTTTTTGGAATCGATTCCAATCAATATTTGATTAATGATAACGAAATGATATGTGATTGATAAGTAAAATCATCACAATTTTAGATATTTACACTTCAGTAATTGTTGAAATTAAAATGATATCTAAATCAACGTCCAATGAATATTGTTTTTACGATTTGACAAAAATTGGACGTAGAATCATATTAAACGATAAGAAGAAAACCAACAAATGCAAAACGTTGTGTTTCTTTTACTTCGTTCGTTGTGAAAGAAAAAATGTTCTCTTATTTTTAATTTATTGCAAACTTATTTTATGTTGTCATTCTTCGACTATTTTTTTTCTCTCTAGATATTATTTCAATCATGGGTGCATGCAATAGGAAACAGGAACTATGCAAACAAGATAGTATACATAAAATTCAATACGAACTTCTTAGATCTACCGATGGTTATGATAAAATACCAATCGTAACACTCGAACAAGCTGTTCTACCTTTGATTCCTTTTTTACCAAAAATTCAAACATATGTTCGTATAGTAAAAGAAAAATGTGAAAATCCTGCTGATAGATTAACATCTGATCAATCAGCATCTATTATGCTTTATTCAATAGGATGGCAACCAATAAATGAATGTCTTTATGTTGTTTTAAATACTACATTACAATCAATGAATCGACAAAATCTTAAACCATGGTTTCTATATTTAAAACTTTTATTTACTGCGGTTATACAACTTCCATCAATTCATTTATCTGTCTATCGTATTAGTAAATCAGACTTAATTAAACAATATGAAAAAGATGAAATAATTATATGGTGGGATTTTTCATTATGTACAACTTCAATTGAACATTTAAAAATAGATAAATCTTTAGATAAAATAGAAACAAAAACAATATTTACAATTGAATGTAATACAATTAAAGATATACGTAAACATACATATTTTCAATCAGATAATTTATTATTAATTTTACCTGGAACACAATTTCAAGTTCTTAAATGTTTAGAACAAAATAATAATCTTCATTTAATTACTTTACAAGAAATTCAATCATCATTTCTTTTACAACCTGTAAGTTTTGTTTGTTTTTTTTAGAAATCAAAATTAAAAAAAGAAATATTATTTAATGAAATTATTTATCTAGCAAATATTACATATTAAATCGAAGAATTTTTTAAGAAAGTAAGAATCAAATTTTATTCAATATTTTTTTAATGTTTTCTATTATTTAGATTTTTATCATGTCAAAAACAATCGAAAAAAATTTCAACAAATTCAAAAACTTCAATATCTAATAATAGTATTTATCGCAATATATCACTTGAACAATTAATTTTTGAACGTGGTCATAGTTGGACTGTAGATTTAGATGAACAAAATATAACTGATGAAGATATAAAATTTATTATTAAACATACTATTATTAAAAATCGTTGTAAATGTATTCGATTACGAGATAATAATATAACATCATTAGGTGCTTTAAAATTAGCCGAAAGTTTAAATAATAATATAACATTAGAATCATTAGATTTACGAAATAATTTTATATCAGATTTAGGTGTAAAATTTTTATCATTAACAATTATAAATTCAAATATCAAAACACTTAATCTTGAATCAAATGGTATTACATTTGAAGGTGCACAATATTTAGCTCAAATGCTTAAAAATAATCAAACATTATCAGAATTATATTTATCAAAAAATCATTTAGGTGATCGAGGAGTAGAATTATTAACAAATGTACTTCATGATAATAAGAGATATGATTACGATCAAGATAATAATGAAGTAAGCCCTTTTATTTCGTAATTATTAAATTTCATTTTATTATTTCGATGTGAAAAATCCAATATCTCAGCAGTAATAAGCTAGCAACACAAACTTTTTTCAGAATATTTACATGATGCGCATACGCTCGATTCAAAAACGATGTGACAGTTGAAAATGTTCCCTCGTCAGTTTTTGTGATTAGTGTAGGATGTACGATACGTATGTACCCTTCATCCAAATGGATTTCAAACGAGGATTTTTTTTTTGAGTTAATTCACGCGGAGTACAAGACGCAAGAAATATAATCTTAAGATTGTTAGTAGATAAAAGGTGTCTAAGAAGTTTTCATTCCTTTCAAGTAATATTCTTTTATTATAATCAAAATTATCTGAATATAACAAGAAGACAACGTATGTCAATGTTTATGTATCTACTTACCATCTTTGATGTATCACTTGTTTCAATCGATTCGGTAGTTTTGTCATCATTTGCTTGTATTTTTCATGTTTGTACTACTCGATTGTCCAAATCTTTCTTTAATTGCATTCCAAATTATCTTAGTTAGTCAAATATTAGCAAATTTTGCATCATCAACTTCAAGGTCTATACATTCGCCAAACATATCAAATTGGTAATGACAAATGACACAATGTAGAAAACGAAAAGTTACTCATTATGAACGATTCATTGAATAACTATAATTTTTTGCATTCGCACTGTTTGTAAAAAAAAATAATTCGAAAAAAGAAAACTCCTATGAATTTTATATTACTTGTATCTCGGAACCTACTCCACGGAAAAAACATACAAGAAAAGAATATTACTTGAAAGGAATCAACAACTTATTAGACACTCTTTATGGAGAAGATAAATCAGGGCTAACACATATTGAGGAGAGCGATACTATTATTGGTTGTATAAAACTTACGTTGAGTATCATATTGTCACGACTGATATATTCTAAATAGATATGAACAAGATACATTCCTGGTTCCGATGAAACCGAGAACAAAAAACGGCTGTTGTTACTCATGTCTAACTATTCACAATATTCATGACGTAAGGATTAATATTAACAGAAAACATGAATGTTTGTTTCCAAGTTATAATTTCTCAAAAAAAAAAATATTTTCTCAAGTTTTAAGATTTTAAAGAATTCCAAACAATTTTTGAAGGCTAAAAATGAATTTTTCATCTATTATATTAAGCAATCGTAAGATCGTAGTGAAAATTTATATATAAATTCAAATATAAGAAAATGTTTTCATATAGGTATATGATACGTCTAATCCATCGATACTTCAACATCTTTATCTTGGTCATAATGATATAACAGATGTCGGAATTGAATATATTGCTAATATGTTAAAAACAAATCGAATGTTAACATGGTTATGGTTATCTGGAAATGAAATAGGTAATCGAGGAGTAGAATTATTAGCCAATACACTTGCTTATCATAATAGTAGTCTTGAATGGTTATTTCTTAATTCTAATAAAGCTATTAATGATTCAAGTGTTGATGCTCTTTTACATATGCTCAAACGCAATCATTCTTTAAAAACAATCTATATAAATAATTGTAATTTATCAGAAATTGCTAAAAACAAACTTCAAGAAATGATCAAATTTAAGAAAGATTTTGATTTAGAAGTTTGATTTGTAATTAAAGTTTTTATTTTATTTTTTTTTAAATAAATTTTATTTTTGCTATAATATGACAAGAACAGATAAGAATAATTTATGTCAAATAATTATTTTAATAATTTTTATAGTTTGTTTTATTTTTCAATCTTAAGATTTTATCAATGTCGTATTATTTGAATTAACTTTATTTACTTATTTATATAATAATTTAACTGATTGAAAAAAAAATGAATAGAATTCTTTCTTTTTCTTTTTTACAACAAGTTGAATATTCATAATTATTTAAAAATTAGAATTGAATATGAAAGTACAAAAGAAAAGATCTTCTTCAGAAAATCATTGATTAAAATCATCATAATATTTATTAAAATGATATAATAATAAAGTTTCACTGATGCTTGTCGAATCACTATGAATTGATTAATTTTTGTAATATTGAAGTTACTTCGAGTAAAGAGAGTCGAATGCCACTGTTATCACAGTAAATGAATTAATAAAGAGAATCGTTTTCATGAAATTTCAACATATTGGTATTGTTTCCCAGAAAGATCGTACAAAAACCTCTCATCGCAATAGAAGGCTGCGGATCTTGCGTAAAAATAGAAGCTATTTTGAGTTTTGGAAGACATTTTTTAGGTGTAAAAAGCCCAAAAATATCATTGATCTCATGAGGAATGCTTTCTAACTGATCAATTGCTTTTGATTCAGCACTATGTAGGCCCTAATGCACTATGAATAACCGGAAAAGAGTTCCGATCCTTAGCTTATTGTTGCGAAGATATTTTAAGATAGGGACAAATCAAAAGACTTGAAACTTTCACCATAAACTATTCTCATTGAGATCTATCTCATTGCTGAGTTTCAAGTCAAAATTTAGAAATGAAATTTTCCGGTATTCCTAAAGAAGATCACATTTGTGATTTAAAAAATAATGTAAAAATACTGTATCTCCGAAGGAATAAGCAAAGGGCATGAATTCTTTTCAGGATATTCATAGCGTCTTTGAATCTACATAATCTCGATTCAAAAGCGTTTAACCAGTTGGAGAACTTTCCATGTAAGATGTTCTCTATACTTTGTTTCATTTGACAATTTTAACATACTTTGCAAAATGCCAGCTATTTTCTATCCCTGTATGGATGAATATGTCGACAAGCGATGGAGAATATCTATAGAAAACATTTTATGTATAATCAAAATCTAGCGATATCAACTTTTCTGTTTCTCAAAACTTCGATTTTCTAATAAAAAAAAAACGAAACCTAGTAAAATACAGAGTGCTATGTTATTGCTTATTTCTTGTCTTGATGAACAAGAAAAATATATAGGATTGATGATAAAAAATTCTGTAAGTAATAATATAGAGAAGTTTTGCAAGATTCATTGAATTTGTTTGTAGATCTTGGTTTTCAGGTTTGTTTTACCAGATATTCTATTGTCTGTGAGTTCAAATTCAAGAAAATTTTCAAACAAAAAGATTTCTAATTACTCTTAAAAACTCAATCACACATCGATAACACATAATAAGCTGATTAGATTAGTCCTTGGAATATTGTAATAATCGAACCATACTTGTTTATTGATCTATAATTTCTGAATTCATAAAAAACATATAGCACCTTACCTTTGTTTCATTTATTCGACAAAAACAAAAGTAACGAAAATAATTCTTTATGTTTCTAACTCTTATATTTAAAAGAATTACTAGGTAGGAGAAACACAAGAACATTAAAAATACCAAACAAAATTATAATAATAAGTTTACGCTTCTATACTCAATATGATGTGTTTCACATCAAAGACACCATAGGACGAATAAAAAATCTTTTATCGTCTAAGAACTTCTAAAAGCCAAAGCTCTAAGTTGAGCTTCGAACCTTTACGCATTTTTCTCGGAAAAAAGAAAATCAGACAAAATTTGCTTTGAATTGTAATACACCAAAATGCGACATCATGGAAAACTAGGATTTTCCCGTAATATCATCTTTGAAATTTTTTAGTGTTCTATCTGTAATAAGAGCTTCAGCCTGATTGGTTACAGTCTTGCCAAGAACTTGGAATGATTAAAAAAGACATCAATAATTTTTAATAAAATCAAATTTTAATTCTTTGATCTTTTTAAATTCGAGAAAATAACATTTCTTGAAAAAAAACTCATTCGCCGACAAAATTAGAACAACAAAAAAAATTCTGCTCAATCAACATGATAAATATATCGTGCATAAGTGGTATCAGAATTAAGTCCAACAGAACTACCACATCGATATCCACCCAAATTTGAACCAGTATGCCAACAGAGTCGTAGACCTGAATTACTTGAACCTTGACTACTTATATCTAAAATATAATAATTATAAACAATTATAATTATAATCTTTATTTGGTATTCTTACCAACATCACAACGATTACGAAAAACGGTATCTTGGTTTTCAACAAATCCCCAAGAGTAATCTGAAGAATAGTACCAACCAACCCCATTAGCTGTATGTGTACAAGTAGTAGTATTACCACAATTATAAAGTACATCAGATCGAAGACCCATTGCAGCTAATGTCAATACACTTGAATTTATAGGTCCACAGCCTAATAACAATTTGCCTTTGTTACATTGAGTTAGAATTGTATCAAGAACTGTCGAGTTTAATGCAACATTATATGTATCATAATAACATAAAGTCCAACCAGATGGTAAACCTGTTACATCAAAATTATTTTGTGCTCCACTGACAGTAAGAGGAACTATCCAATAAAAAGAATATATGTTAAACTTAATAAGAAAATTAACTAATAAAAATTTACCTGAAGCTGTTGTTGTAGCTAAAAGAAAGAATTAAATTTCAGTTTTTAGAAAGATAAAAGCACTTCTTGAGAAAAGTTTCCATTTTTTTTTGCCTACAGATACTATATAATGTTCTAATAAAAATCCTAAAAGAATTTCGGTTTCTCTCTTGAAAGTCTCACGTCTGGAATAAACTTTGTTCAAAACTTGTGAACTTTCCTTTTCTTATGGAAGTTAGTCTAGTCAAGTTCTCTATGATGAGCAAAGTTTTCGTTCAAAACTCGAAAATATGAGTTTTCTGAGAACCTGAGATCTCTAGAAAAAAAACTCGATAGCTTAGTCAAATCTCAATGGGGACCCAAATTATTTTAAGATTTCTATTAGAACACTATGTACTGTCTATAGGCAAAAAAGAATCATTGAAATCGAAAGGAGGCAGCTAAAGAGTTTTCCGCATTCATCACAAACTCATAAAACTTAATGCAGCTATCTATCATCGATTTATAAATAAATACATTATATGACATAATTTAAGCAATAAAATATTTATATACTTGTTGTACTGGTAGTTGAAGTTGATGTAGTAGACGTAGTTGAAGTTGATGTAGTAGAGGTAGTTGTAGTTGATGTGGTAGACGTTGTTGTCGTTGTCGTAGAGGTCGAAGTTGAAGCTAGAGCACAAGTAAAATTTTTATTAAATTTCATTAGAAGAAACTTGAATATATTTAAAACCAATTAACACTAGGAAACCTTATTGATATACGGTCTTTGATCGTATATCAACAACATCTATCACGATCTGTTATGAACCGTCTCTAAATCTCTATACTTCAATACCCCTTTTAGATCGTAGTTCACAAAATATGCATAGAACTGTGTGAGAATGCTGGGCGTACATCTATGAATTATTATGATACTAGCGAGAACCCGTGCATACTGTACGGCTGGCTTCTTCTTTAACGTATGACTTCAGACGTTTAATTGTTCATCCGATAACAGACATATAGATACGTGATATTATGTACATAGATCGAAGCCTTACGGTCTCACACTCTTATATCACACATATTTTTATAGTCCATATAGCCATATGTCCTTATAGCCTTATATTTCTTGTACCTCTTGTAGCCTTATCCCTTTACTGTCTTACACCCTTCAGGACCTATGAGTACCCTATAGGACTGCCCTTTAGGATCCATGGGTGC